GTGCTCAGAGTACTTGGCTTCAGGAACGAAAAATTTTCACCCAAAAGGTTTTTCATGTTCACCCGCAAACTATACTTGTATTGATCGAAATTTCTGTGCAATTTCACTGCTTCGTATCGAAACGGCCTGAATCGAAACGACTTTGTTTCGAAACGACCAAACTCCAGATGATAAATCAAGACCGCAGCGATAAAGCTTTTCGCCCATATATTGGGTTGGGTATGTACTTTAGCAAAAAATATTGGCCAGCGCGCAATCTGTAAACGAAACGAAAGGACTTCAACGTGAGTGTTTAAGTGAACTAAAAAAATGGAAGGCATATTATAATAATATACCAGTGACCAGACTGACCATTCGAACAGTCCTACACGTTAAGATTGTGGACTTTTCAGCTATATTAATATAAATGATAACGTGCTGTCTCAGTTTTCTTATCTTTTTAAAAGTGAAAGAGTTTGTTTACAATAACTGAGCGATTTTTCGCCAGTTCATTGATCGAGAGATATGGTCGATAATAGTGCAGACCATTGTAATGACGCAAAGGTGGCGTCATTTGTTGCTCTTTTTCTTAGACCCTGTTTACATGGAGTGGGGGACCCCGGTTTAGTGGGGTAGGTTTCTTTTGTTTTGTGTCCCCCAGAGCGTGAAAACAAAAGAAACCAACCCCACTAGACCGGGGTCCCCCACTCCATGTAAACAGGCCCTTAGTCGAGCGATATTCTGAGAAACTTCACCGGAAAGGAAGTCAAAAACTGTCAAGAATGATATTACAAGAAAACAAATGGATAACAATTTCCCACGTTCTATACTCTTATCGACCATAGAAATGACGTCAAATTGTTCAAAACTAAGCAGTCAAATCAATCACTCGGGTTCTTGCTTCCACTTGAGTTTTAAAACACTTCGATGCCATTACACCTCTCTCTCATCCCACTTCCAGGACCCTCCGCTACGTTTCCTTGTTTTTATGTTTTACACATTTTATTCTTTAAAAAAAACTGACCTCCAACCATTTCTGCCAGCTCCTGCCTCGTAATGAGTCTTTCACTTTCTAAGTACAAAATAAACGCACCGAGGAAAGCAAATCGCTGGCTCACAAAGCGCCAATGATCACAAAACCTACAATACGTGTACAAAACATTCAGAGCAAAAGTATGAGAATGAAAAAAAACGGAGCAGTATCATTTAGCATTACTTAAACCTATTTGCCCCTGAGCCGCCCGTGAGGATCCACTTCCTTACTACCGCTTATGACGTCGTTTTAACGGTCAAGGTCAACTTTGTCATCTAACTTTAGCCTGCGAAAACATTCGTTTCGGCAAAGAGGGAGGAGAAACGGATGTCTTCGCTGGCTAACCTAACTTATGAAGGGGGAAGAGAGCTTTAAAACCATACCAGAACGGGCCCAATTCAGTCCAGGAGGTAAGAAAAAAAAAAGAAAAAAAAGAAGGCGGGGAGGGAGGGGGGGGGGAAAGCCTCATACAGTGCAAAGCTGACCTGAAAATAGGGTACATTTGGAACAAGATGATGGGTGGATGTGAAGGAAGGTTGATTAGGATTCTATGATTTTCGAAGGAGCATTTGAGAAAGGTGGCTTCACTTTGGATCATAAATAAAGAAATAAATAGAAAGGTCGTTCATTGGACTACATGTAAATCTATCTCTAGTGAATGCAAAACAAAGAAAAGAAAACGGGAAGAAGCGATAGAAGAGGGAGAGAGAAAGCTGAAATGCTCGAACTGGTTCCAGCAGAAGCTGATATTTTGCGTTCAGAAAAGAAGGCTACGAGTTTGTGTCTTATAAACGCTTTGGGCAGTTTGGGTTCATTATGACCAGAAAACAGCCTGAATTGCTTCAAAAGGAGATTTTTGGCAAATTTGGCTCTGGAGCAAATGGTTTACTATGTATTTATTAAAATATAAAAATTATGTCCATTTATTTTTTCTTGATCATAATCTTTATAATTCATTCCGGAATTAGCTTTTGCAGTAAAAATAATCTGGTTGAAAAATAAAATAATCTGGTTGAATAATAAAATAATCTGGTTGAATCTTGTGAACAGAAAATTCATTTAATATCTACAGAGTGATTATAAGTACTACTTGGTATAACTGATTTGAAAAGACCTTAATTGAAGATTTATACTTAAAGAAGAAGTCAGATAACTAAATTATGACTAATATTTACTGTATAAATAACAATGATGGACCAGTTCACCTGTAATATTGCCCTACAGGAATCTTTTCCATAAGATTCTTATATTGTGACTTGACAGTGGAAAACATATGTCTGCTTTTATCACATATCCTTTTAACAACTGCCAGAGTAAGACAGGACATGTATAAAGAGAATTACTTTAATCATCACATGCATACAGCATAAATGAGAGAAGCGCAAAATAAATCTTTGGGGCTATTTACAAGGCACATATGATCCACTATGTGGGTTCCAACAGCAACCATCACAATAATTGCAATTGAGCTAAACCCACTAGCACCTTTTCCCGCAGGGGGGAGTTCCAAGGGTTTCGAGGGGGGGGAGTTCTAGAGAGTGATATGACCAATACAATGTCAATGTTTATTAAAGTGAAGAAGACACCTTATGGTTAAACAACACCTCTAGATTTCAACCATTTACTATTACTTCTATTTTGAGGTATGTCTACAAATGCATGCAACTTGCCATCTCACTTGAATATTCACCAAATTCTTCGTTAATTCTCACCAGGTTTGTAAATTTTGTCAGATTTAACCATTTTTGTCACTTCTTGACAGGAACTTGGCCAATATCCAGGCATCCTGACCTCATGCTTTGTCAAATTTGATATATATAAATTGATGTTATAGTTTTATGTTGATAAGGGAGTTGGTTCATGAAGAGCCATGGCAGACATGTGCATGTACCTTCAGGGTTAGGTGTTTGATGGACTGCTTGTAACACAGCTAGGATTTCTCTCGCTGACTGCTCTAACTCACGTGTTACTGTGCGGATTTCCTGACAGATAATAAATATAAATAATGGCTGTCAGGTACTTGTAACATAGACCTTGTCATAGTTTTTGATGCAATCTTGACGAGTAGGCAAACTTGTGTGAAATTACAGTGTTTGTATGAGAATATAATGTTGAATAATTTTTGTAGAACAGCTGTTCTGAAACATAATATGGATTGTAAACTAAAGATTCACTTCTGAGGATTCTACTGAAAAAAAATGAGGGTGTTACATACGCTAGAAGACCTAGAACCACTTTTTAAAATTTTCTATACATTTGTCTGTAAGAAAGTCCAGGGAAAATTACAGACAAATACATGTATATGAAAAATCTAAAGCAAGCCTCTGGAGAAATTTAAGCACAGGTACACCCCAAAATTTTGTTTTCTCAGAACAGCCATCTACAGAAATTATTCAACATTACATTCTCATACAAACACTGTCATTTCTCCCACGTTTGCCCACTCATCAAGATGGCATCGAAAACGGAGACAAGGTCTATTAAACTGATTGCAACATTTCTTCGTAACTCGAAATATGGAGTGTAAAATGGGCATCGATGTACAACACACAGGCAATACAACAATCCCTCGCATTGTAACAACCAGTCCACAGGACAGTTCTTCACTAATAGAGCCTGTTTACATGGAGGTGAGGGAGCCTAGGCAGATAATGGGGCCAGCTTAGGTGAGGTAACCTGCCTGTCCAAATAATCTCTCATTTTAATTGACGTATTTACATGATAGGTGGGGTGACCATATGAGAGATTATATGGACAGGCAGGTTACCTCACCTAAACAGCTTACCTCACCAACCTGAGCTACCCCACCTCCATGTAAACAGGCCATTAGTTCTACATGTACAGCTGTATACCTGCCATGTTAAGCAAAATTGGGCTGACATGATCATAAGTAAGTTTTTACACTTGAAACTTCCTGGAAGATGGACCCGACCTGCTGATTAATTTTAACGCTCCCATGAGATTGCGTGACAGCCTTGTCACGTGAACTTTTTACTTGTTAGACTGACGATTCGCAGTTCTCGATACACTACACCAAGATTGATTTTTGTTTTAAGTAACTGGCAAACTTTTCAAAAGGTTTGTAAACCAGTTCCTTCATGAGGCACCATCTTCCTACTTCCAACATTAAAACACTAGCCTGAGTATCGGGCCTTCCTGAGGGGATTAGGGAGAGGAGATTTTGAAACACGTGTATTGTTGTAACGCAACATGTGCGCGATATTTCATAAAACAGTTTGGGCTCTACATGATACTTTAACTCCACAAGTGCACAGAGTATTCTCATCCTACCTCTCTTATTTCCTGGTCAGACGACAAATATTCCTGGAAGGAGGCAAATAAGGAAGTCACGGCCTTGCTTTCTGCTTCATTCTTCTCACTCGTCTCCGACTCCGCCATCTTTGAATGAATCAGTGATTACCACTTGAACAGCGGTAATTCATTGTTGATTGTGCGCATTGGATCTAAGTTTCAAAGATGGCGTCCTTGTCAACAATCCCCGACAGAGAATTTAATACTTCCTAAGGTTTAGCTAAGATGAGAAAAGATTGATTTCCATGGCATATACGAAGCCGCAAAAAATGTCGGAAAGGAAATCTAGAAAGAACACGGTAAGTTGGCACTAACAAACTTTACAGATGTTACCCAGTCGCTTCAGAGATTTTCGGGTTCCATAAGCTTATTTGTCCTCTTCTGTAATGCTATCCCTCACTATCAAGCCGAATATAAGTTGCAAAGCATTAATTCTCTTCGTGCAAAAGTAAAGACTGTCTGACTGGAGAATGTATTTATTTTACAAGCTATTATTTGAAATAAAATGTCGAACTCTTGACGGTAATCTAAATAAATGGGAACAACAAAAAAAAGGAGCGATGATGGTCATTTGACACTGAAGTTATAGCCAGTAATGTTTTCGATGGCAGAGATGACAGTAGTGTTGATGCCAATGGGGATATTGATGACTGTCACGGAAATAGTGACGCTGACGATTACATCGATGATGATAATGATGATGACAGTGATGATTGTGATGTGTAGGAAAAGACAGTGTGAATGTTTAGAAGCTCCATTATCTTGTTTATCGGGATGCAGTGCCATGAGTTGTGTAGATCGTGCCTCAAGAGATATTCTGTCAGTAGCAGTTAACCTCCAAGTGATGATTCAGTGATAAGAGTTTAAGTTAAAATACAGAATGCAATCAAGTAAATAAACTTAAAAGTTGTTGTGAATAAAGTTGTATTACTTTACCTTCGTTCTTCCCTAGTCAAGTATGGCTCTTGCTGCTGTAGCTTTGCAGGATCACATGGTTCGTTCACTATCCCTTCATGATCCACTGAAGAAAAAGAAAATCAACCACAGCTTACCTGTGAAAAATAGCAGAAATTTAACATCAACGGAAAAACGCAGCAGGAAAGATGAAGATCAGAAAAAAGAATATGTTCTTGATCCTAAACCAGCTCCACTGACATTAGGCAAGTGTAATGTAGATGTTGTGGTTCAATGTAATCCTTAGTAAAATTTTTTCTCTTTATCATACATTATCATACCCAAAAACAAAAGGAAATAAAATTTAAACCATGGATAAAATTGAACCACAACTTACATTTTGCAATATAATTTACTGATAATAATTTATAATCTTAATTATGCAAATATCCCTTCCAGATTACCTAGCGGTTTCTTAGGTATGGCACCAATCTCCTGGTCTCCCTTACAAGTCACCAAATTTCCCAATGTCTCAATCAACTTTTGAGCTTTTCTGTGTGTCAATTTTTAATTTAGTCTATATTTATCTCAAAATCTAAAAATTTCTTTCATGCACTCACAGCTTTTGTGGCCATCATTTACAAAAACAACAGTATTTCGTTCACCTGTGGAACCAATTTTGATGGTCTGTATTAGTTTATTCATGTTTGTGGGCTGGTTTACAGAGATGTGTAATGTGTTTGTTGATTTATTTTGACTATGGACCAGAGAATCGAAGGGGTGGTTTTATTGTGGATATTTTTGAGGGTGGGGTAATGCAAATGAGTCTACCAATTTAAGATCTCCTGATGTTGGCATCTCTGGTTCTGTTAGCAGTATGTCAGTCTTGAATGGGCACTCGTGTCCAATACACACGAACTAAGTCAAGTTGTCAGTCATCGAAGTTGACTAGTCTACTGAAAGTCAGGTCGTGAGATGCCAAACGGAAGTAAAACTCAATCTTTGGAAGTCAGCATCACTTATCTGCTCTCCCATATAAATCTTGACGGATTGTGTTGGATGGTGATGGGTCGTACAACACGACTTTGTGTAAGTCTCTCACCACCCAACAACCAGAAAGTCGCGTCAACTATTTTCATTGATGGATCATTACCACCACCTTCCCTTTAAATCCACGACCTGACTTCTGGTAGACGGGTCGACTAGAACGTTATACAACCCGACTCAGTTCGTGCATATTAGACAACCCTCGGAATTGGGGTGATAAAGATATTATTGACCCAAGTTTTTGCAAAAAGAGTTGGTATTGAGGGTTTGAAATTCATACCCTGTTGAGGATAAAAGGAAACTTACAGTATAGTTTTCAACTATTCCCTCAATTGATAACAAGAGTATCAAGCTACACAGGCCCATATACATCTGTAAAATCAGAATCATAGCTTCTGGCAAAATACAATAATAATGTAGCTTTGGCTCCCATGTAGAGTTTTGAGAAGCGCCTTTTAATCTCATTCAATTTTTCCAAAGCTCTCTCTAAATCAGGAGAAATCAGGCCAAATATTGTCTAGTTGTTAAATAACAATTTTACAATTTTAAAGCTCAGAAACTTGGCCTTGTTGAAGCTCCAGAAGTTTTACTATCTGACAAAGAATGGAAAGAAGTGAAGGAAAAGTCAAATGCCAGACAGGACTCCTCACAGCCTTGTGTTATCTGCAAAGAGGACTTTGGACTTCAACAACAAGTAAGCCGTTTAGATCAGTATGGATGCACAGGCATCCAATCCTCTGTGTTTTGTACAGTTTTTATTTTGCTTTTTAAAATATTAAAAGTGGATATAGAGAATCATACTTTAACTAGCCTTGTTATTAAGGAGACAATCTAGTTCTGTTTAAAATAATTTATTGTGGGTGGCAAGAGGAGCCCACAACCCTGATTGCCAGGTTGTTATTACTTTACTCTCTAACTCTAAAACTTTCCTTTAAATCCTTGCTATTTCTAGCGGCATAGTTTTTTGAGTAATGAAATACTAATTCTTATGTTCAAATTTTCCAGCCACTTATATCCAAGTTCTTTGTCACACTTCCCAATGATCCTACAAGGATCAGTGTCGCCTCCACAGTTCTCATGTCCCACGTCCTTGCAATTTCTCTTTAAGGTCCTGATAGTTTTGAAACTTCTCATTCTTCTTTTCACTAATTCTCTTATCCCCTGGTAGAGCAATATCGATAATGGCACACTTCTCTCCAGATCAGTTTTTTACAACCACAATGTCTGTTCTTGCTTCAATGACTTGGTCACATTGGATGTTCGTATCCCTCAGTAGTCTCACTTCATTGTTTCACTTGAAATGTCAGGCACTTGTTCATACCACTTTCTTTCTTCTTTTTTTTCTTTTTATTCTTTCCAGATGACATTTTTCACATAACTTCCAGTGGACTACATTTGCAATACTGTCATGTCTCTGTTTTTTGGGGGGATTCTGCCATCTTGTCAATATTATGGTATTTCACGTATAGTTGGTTCTGAGAGCTTTTTCCTGGCCTGCAAGAGTAGGTGCTTCTGTTTGGATATTCAAGTCTGCTTTTCATAACCAGCTCCAAGTTTCTCTTACATGCGTTGTCTCGGTTTTTTCTCTTGCAGCCTCTTTTCCTTCCAACTGCTGCCTTTTCGTTGTTGCGGGATGTCTTGGATTCATCTTTACTGACAGTTTCCTCACTTTCAATACACCCTAATCACTATCGTTAAAAAAATATGGACCTCTTTTTACATATTTTGGTGATGTTGTTGGCAGCATCATTAGAGCGGTTTTCACTTGACTGTCGAAAGTAATTGGTTTTGGTTTTGGTTTTGGTTTTGGTTTTACTACGCCCTTTGGTTGGCTAGTGTATTTACTTTGGTTTTGGTTTTACGACAGTCAAGTGAAAACCGCTCTATTTCAAGAGAAACAAAAATGAACAAAATCTTTAAACTATTTTCTCAATGTTAAAAATTCCACATAATGCAAACTCTACATATACTGTTAAACATTGTAAAACTGTCTTGGAAGAACTGTGACTATTTTTGTGTGCATATACTCTTGTTGAAATTTTTCCTGCTTTATGTTTTAGGTTTTGTTATCCTGCAGTCATGTTTTTCATAGGGTGAGTTAAAAGAAACCTGTTTTGTTTGCAAGCATTTTTTTTGGCGATATTGTGATGTTCAAAGTACACGTACTGTATTGGATGTTTGACATTATTTCTCAAGCAAAGTGGCTTTAGAAGAAGACATGAATTGTTTTTTTGCGTTGATTTCCAAAAATTCAATAAACATTAATATATCCTTTGTACATGTATGTTGATATTTATTTATTTTATGCATTTATTTATTTATTCACTGCAGACTTGCTTGGAAGCCTTTGAGAAGTTTTCAGGTCGCAAATCATGTCCAATGTGCAGGAAAGAGCAGTACCAAAGGCGGATAATCCATGAAGGAGCACGAGAGTACAGAGTTAAATGCACAACGAGGTATGTGGCTGTTCTGCCATAGCTTGATTTACGGCATTCTTTAAGACTGATGGGGTAGCTACAGTCTCAGACAAAAATAGGTGGGACTCTTCCACTGAACGCTGATTTTTTTCTTTCTTGTCCATCTCCTCTCCCTTCCAATGTTGTTTATCGAACGTAACTCACTAAATCTTGCACACCAACATTAGGAAGGCGAGAAGACATTCAAGTACCCCCAACAATTTTGACTGAGACTTGAGTTTTGACGGGATATATATTTTGCCGGTGAGGCGGGAGCAGCAGTCTTATTTTTTTAAAAGAAACACTGGAGAGCCTTCGGGCGCTAACTTAGCCTGCGTAGCATGGCGGTTTTCTCGAGCCGGGCGCACGAGCGGCAAAACCGCGAGAAAACATATGCAAGTTGCTCCCGCCCTAATCTCTTTGCGGTTTCTCTTCCCTCGCCCGCCTTTATTACTTAGCGCGCCCAACCAAAACCGCCATGCTACGCAGGCTAGCACTTACTTTTCAATCTGAAGCAGCTACATGTAATTCAACAACTTGTGGATGGTATCCGGTCTACCTCGCCACCAACGAAATTGCCACCAAGAAATATATATCGAAATACTTATCTAAAGGACAAGTCTCTAAAAGAAATTCTTTCACTTTGGATTTACAATGAAATTTAAGGAGGTAAGTTTCAAGTGACAATACATGTATTAACCAACTTTCATAAGAAAGGCTGTTGGATTCTAAACACTGAATCGCACCTCTCGAACAATGCAAATAAATAAATGGTACTTTTAAAAATGGTATTAAAAAGTCGCGGTTATTTAGAAAAAAATAAAACTAAAGGTGGCAAGTTCGACGCAAGGTGTCAATTAAAATCGATGAACAAATATTTGGGCTTGAGGAAGAAGTGACAATCCCAGGTAATTAAACAGTGTCAATTATTGCAGAGTTACTGTATTACCTGGTGGCGAGTAGACTTCTTGGTGGCGATTTCGTGCCATTTTTTTTCATGGTCCATCTCAAATCCGACCAGCCCCCTCCCCCATCCCACCCCCTTACCTGATAAAAAAGTAAACGGTGACTTAGAACCCTGTGCGCACGTTTATCATCATCATCAACATCCATCTTAATTTATACACGAAATCGTGTCACTTTTACATGGTCTTCCTAGGAATCGTGTGTAAAATAATGTGATAGATTTTATTCGAAACCAATATATCTCTACAGTAACGGGCTTCTATTCCGATCCACTTGCCAAAAACGATAGGGTTCCACAAAGTAACGGGCTTCTAAACCGATACACGTGCCTTCAACAAAATTACAATTCTCTAAATCGAAAAACTACTCCGTTCAAAGTGTCACATGATCACGTGTTCGAAACGTGATCGGCTACATCTAAGGTCAAAAAATGTCACGCGCGAAAAGTAACACAAAACTCCGTGACACACTCCCCCCTTGACCAGTCGAATCACTGGTCAATTAGTCTCCGAATATAATCAGCATTCCGGGCGGCAAGACGCCTGGGTGGCCTGATGCCATCAATTATCTGCTCCTCCCGAGGTTGTTCATCATTACTCACGACAGGTATCTCCAGGGGAAACAGCCTTTGCATTGGCCTCTTCATAGTAACAGGTCTACCACTCTTACTGATAACCTTGACTACAGCTGCTCTAACGCGATCGTCCGCACCATGGATCAACTGCTCCACTCGTCCAAGTTTCCACTGACTACGGGGCAGATTGCCCTCGAAAACGGTAACAACATCTCCCTTAGATACAGCAATACTGGATCTAGGCCTGGATTTCTGCCGATGCAGGTTCCTTAACTCTGTAACATATTCTCTGCTCCAGCGCCTCCAGAAGTGTTCCAGTAACAATCCCAAGTACTTCCGTCTTCTTGGGAGATCTTCCGACGACACTGTATGGTCAAGTGAGGCTTGTCGATTTCCTGTTACCTCCGGCAGTGATAATATTCGTCTTCCATACATCAAGTGACTTGGTGTCAATGGTTCTTCAGGATCATCTGACGATACGTAAGTCAAGGGTCTAGAGTTGAGAGTTCCCTCAACCTCGACGAGAACGGTGTGCAATTCGTCATAGTTTAACTTAGCGTTCCTGAGTGTCTTCCGCAAACATCTCCTTGTATTCTGAATCAATCGCTCAAAAAAGCCACCCCACCAGGGCGCTCTGTCCACATTAAATCTCCAGTCAATTCTTTTACTGGCCAGGAATTTCTTGACTCTTGGGTAAGAAAATAACTTGCTCAAAATTTTATCTGCAGCCTTAAACGTTTTGGCATTGTCCGAGGTAATCAGTTCTGGTAAACCTCTTTTAGCTGCGAATCTCCTCAGGCAACGGATGAATACATCAACCGACAGGTCCGTAGCAAGCTCCAAATGTACTGCTCTCACAGAACAGCAAGTAAACGGGAGAACATAGACCTTCTGTAACGCAGACTGTCCTGACACCTTAATGTACAAAGGTCCAGCATAATCTACTCCGACATAAGTAAAGGCAGGTTTCTGGCTCAATCTAAACTCGGGTAGGTCACTTTGAGGATGCACTCTGTAACTCTTCCCTTCATATCTACGACAAACTGTACAGCTAGCAAGTGTTCTTTTAACAAACTGTCGTCCCTTGACAATCCAAAATCTGGTTCTCAGCTGGGCCAGCGTAGCTTCAACCCTATTGTGATGCACCCTTTCATGAGCATCTCTCACCAACAGAGTTGAAAGATAATGATTCTTTGGTAGTAAGGCTGGGAACTTGGTCTCATGTGGTACATCAACATTAGCAATTCTTCCCTTACATCTTAGGACTCCACTACTGTCTTCGTACAAACCAAAGTCTCGCTCTAACTGACTGTAATTTGCTTGGGACTTCAATTCTTTCTGGACACTTCTTAACGACTTCACTTCTGCATTTCCAAGTTCTTCTGCAGTAACCTCTCCCAAGTAAACAGTTCCTTCCTTTAGCAACTTGGCCTTGATTTTTAAATTTTTCACAAAGCGCAACACCAAGGCTGTAATACGAAACAACTTGTCACAGGAGCTAAAATCTGTGATCGTAATAATAGTGTCCATATTGGGTGTTCCATTTGTAGTTAACAATACCGCTTCACCAACTGCTTCGATAGCTTGGCCTTTCTTCATCTCTACGCAACACTCTTCAGCAATTGTTTCGGAACATTCCTCAGAACTGGGCCAGTTTCTCACGGGCTCCGACAGCCATGATGGTCCCTTCCACCACAACACATTAGTCTTTAACTAAGCCGCACCTTCTCCACGAGATCCTATGTCCGCTGGGTTCTCAATGCCAGGACAATGGTTCCACATGCTCTCTTCGGTTAAAGACAAGATTTCATTCTCACGATTTTGCACAAACTGCTTCCACTCCTTCGAACCCTTTATCCAGCAGATTGCAGTCTTGCTGTCTAGCCACAAGCGTGTCTTGTCAATTGTAATCTGTGACGCCAAGGCTTCTTTAACTGAGGACACCAATCTTGCTAAGATGACCCCAGACAGTAATTCGAGTCTAGGGATAGAATGCCTTGTCAGCGGTGCCACTCTGGTTTTGGATGACAACAAAACTGGAAAAAAATCACCACTCACTTCAAGAACAAAGTAAACAACAGCACAATAAGCCTTCTCTGAAGCGTCCCCAAACCCATGAATAACATACGACGTAACACCTTCCTCTAATCCAGCATACACACACCTCGGTACTAACACTTGCTGCACCTCTCTCAAGTCCTGAAGCCACCTGTTCCACTGCTTCCGGGCAGACTCCGGGAGTGGCGCATCCCATTCAAACTTCTCCTGGCAAAGAGACTGAAACAAAATCTTCATTTCCACCAGTATTGGACTGAGTACTCCAAGGGGGTCAAAGAAACTTGAAGTAACCTTTAACAAGTTTCTCCTGGTCGGCTCCAAGTCTTCTGAAAGTCTCAGTAAGGCTTCAAATTTAAAAATGAACTCATCAGTAACACAGTTCCAATTGACACCAAGTACCTTGTGTTCATCCTTCATATCAAGCTTCTCCAAATGATTGACAGTAGTTTTCGCATAAGACTCTGTATCCTCCACTACAGCACAAGTTCCGACAGTTCCAACTTGGTCCTCACAAATCAATTCAAGCAATTTAGGTGAATTTGAAATCCACTTTCGCAAGTTAAATCCACCTTCCAATAGGCACTTCTTAGACTTCTGATAAAGCGACAGACACTCCTCAACACCCCTTTCTCCTGTCACCAAATCATCCACATAAAATGAATTCAACAAGTTCTGAACCAAACCAGGGTCAGCCTCATATTGACTGATATGATACTTCAAAGTGGCATTCAAAAGAAAAGGGCTAGCATTGACTCCAAACACCACACGACAAAACCTATATAACATCAATCCGGGATTCTCTTCTTCTAAACTGTCCACCCAGAGGAATCGCAGGACATCACGATCTTCTTCAGCAACTCCCACATTGAGAAAGGCTTTTTCAATGTCTCCTACAAGTGCAATTCTTTTCTCTCTAAACCGGAGGAGAACATTGAAGATTGTTGGAGTTAAGGCTGGTCCTGAGTAAAGACATTCGTTAAGACTTGGACTATCACTGCTGGGCCTTGACGACGCATCAAAAACAACACGAAGTTTGGTTGTAAGGGCATCCCGGCGTACCACCCCATGATGCGGTAAATAATGCACCCTTCCAACATCAGGACGCTTGGCACAGTCTACTTGCTCAATTATACCACTCTGCAACTGATCTTGTATGATGGAGTCATATTCTTTCAAGATCTCTGGATCCTTTCTAAGACGTTTAAGCTGCGAGCTCAATCTTGCTACACAGTTCTCAAAATTATCTGGCAACAGCCCATGTTGCTCCTTCCAAGGTAGATGGACCAAATACTTGCCATCTTCAAAACTCAAATTCTTTTCAAAGGCTTCAAGAACAGTATCCTTATCTCGAATGCCGACAGAATCCAGATCCCACAATCTATCCAAATCCCCTTGCAGCGTATCATCAACAACCCTTGACTCCGTCCTCAACACGTGAGTCGACGAAAACTGAATACTTGAAAGTTTCTCCCTCGGGAGATTTTCCACCGGACCCGACAACACCCATCCAAACTTGGTAGAAACAGCCACAGGTCCACCCTGACCTGACTCCTCCCCCCTTACTGACTTGCCATCAAAGAAATCCCAGATATAATCTGAACCAATCAACAAATCAATCTGCATTGTATTGCTGGCAGGGCACACATCAGCAAATTCAATGTTTTTTAAGCTGGGATATCTTTCTTTAACCCATTCCAAATCTTGACCTTGTAAATCATTACAAATGTGAGGGACTGCAAATGCATTCAATGTTGTTTTAAAGTCTGTTCCTGATTTGGTTAAAGAAAGTTCGACCAGGTTGACAGCTTCCAGCTCTTGGTTCTGATCCCCAAATGTTGCAATTTTCAGTCTCTCTGTCCTGACAGTTTTCAATTTCAAGGTATTTACTACCTTTTGGTTGATATACGATCGCTGGGCTCCAGTATCAAAAATTGCACGTACAGTGAGACTATGAGAGAGTTCCTTCCCCGGGATTGAGACATTTACTTGAGCAGTTTGTAAGAAAACATGCATCCCAGAACCAATATGCAATGCAGGTGAGGCTGTTGCCCCAGCAGGAATATTACTGCTGTCTGCCATACCACTATTACAAACTGCCAAATGGTGACGACCACTACACTTGAAGCACTGAATTTTGGTGTCACAGTTACGGGCTAGGTGCCCCCCACGGCGCAGGCAATTGAAACACCTCCCTTGTTTCTTCAAAATTTCTCTTCTTTCATCAATATTTGTTACAACTTGGCACTCAGACGCTCGGTGATTTCCTTTGCAAAACAAACAGTTTAACTCCCCACGATTTCCGCTCAACAATGCACTCGCAGTTAATTCATTGCCAGGGTTAAACGATTTCTTTAATGGGGATTTTTTCTCCACAGATGTATTCATACCACACCTTTCACGGGCCTCCACTTCATTTTTGACAGCTTTTATTACAGAAGTTAGCTCCCAGTTATCCTTATGTTCCCTGCTGACAATCAATCGCAATTCTTCGGGCAACTTCTCCATGAATATAGGAATCAAAAGAGCTCCATACTGTGCAGAATCAATTCCCAGTGCTTGTAAACCTCTAACCTGAATTTCCAAATTATCGAGAACAGCTCGGATTCCCTTAACGTTAGACATGGCATTCACAGGCTGTAATTTGAGTAAGGCCTCCATGTGAGCGCTAATAATTATCTGCTTGTTTCCAAATCTATCGGTTAAGATTTCAATAGCCTCCTTATAGTTCAGTTCAGTTAATGGTAATCCAGTGATAGAATTTAGAGCTGGGCCATCTAATAGACTTCGCAGATAATTAAACTTGTCAACATTAGTTAGCGAAGCGTTCTTATGCACCGCAGACGAGAACGAATCCCAAAATGTTTGCCAGTTTTTTGGGTCGCCAGCAAATCTTTTTATGTGAAGTTTTGGTAGCTTCGCACCGTTACTAGAACTAGATGGAACAGACCCACCTTGACTTCCTTGAGGCGATTCTTGTTTGCCATGAGAATTTTCACATTTCTGTAACTTGACAAGGGCGCCATGAATTCGCGCGCGAAACTCTTCAGATTCCTCTATCTCCGGTTCTAAATTTCCTTCGTCGATTGCGGCCAAAATCGATTCGTCCAAGGTCTTTAAGGTCGCTAATTTTTCATTGAGCGTAATAGTTATCCGTTTTATCTTGTCTTTAGTGGTATCAGACCCATCGTAATCCATGAGAAGTTCATCGACTGATGAAAGAATTTTCCTTGCGTGTAAGCGATGCGCCGCACGTATTTTCAGGTTCTTCGCTAGTTTTCCAGGCATAATTCAGCTAGTTCTGACTCCAAATCCGGCTCTTGGGACCAAATGTGATAGATTTTATTCGAAACCAATAGATCTCTACAGTAACGGGCTTCTATTCCGATACACTTGCCAAAAACGATAGGGTTCCACAAAAGTAACGGGCTTCTAAACCGATACACGTGCCTTCAACAAAATTACAATTCTCTAAATCGAAAAACTACTCCGTTCAAAGTGTCACATGATCACGTGTTCGAAACGTGATCGGCTACATCTAAGTTCAAAAAAAATGTCACGCGCGAAAAGTAACACAAAACTCCGTGACAAATTATACTAAAATACTCTAAGAAACTACTTGACTATAAAGTTAAAAATACAAAAACTTATATTATAGTGAGAGTTACAATGAGTCATAGTGTATTAAGATAATCTTTCCCATGAAATGAAGTTTTGAAAACATTTAAACTAGGCAAGTTTCTAATCTCTGAGGGAATCTTGTTCCACAGAACAGATCCTCTGTAGTGTAGGCTTCCTTTTGCACGTTGTTCTCTTGCCTGTGTAGTCGTTTCCGTGCCCTTTTAGCCAAAGAAGCACAAGAGTAACGAGGGCTCCTATGTTTTCGCTTTTCCTTGTGTGTCTCTAGACTTTCTAAAAAGTCCTTCGTCGGATTTGATATGGCTTGGGACGAAAACTCTCTCGACTTCGTCGCTCGGTCTGCCGCTTCGCTCGCTCCGCTCGCCAAACTCGTGAGGTCGACTTGTAGCAAGTCTAGCGTGTCTCCCACACTTCTCCCACTTGGCTAAAAGGCAATGGAAACGTCTTTTACGCGGGATAGCTCTTCCCAGGTGGGCTTTTTGTTTTGCCATTTATGTTTTTTGTTTGGTCTTTGAGCAGAATTCAAGCTGCGTGGCGTGGTTACTTAGTACGTCAGTGGTACAAGAAGCTGAGAGAGTCTGTTCCCCCAAATGATCCCAAACTGCGAAAAAAGTTTTACGAAGACAAGGTAAACTTATTTCCCATACACACGGCAAAAAGCTGCACGTGTCTATGCAATTTGCTGATTTTTTGCCTAGCATAGAATTAACAGGTATAGAGCTTTTAAAATTTAAAGGTTAGTCCTTTGGCTTTACTTCGGGGCGACAGTTTTTCAAATATACCAAACATGTTTCGGGCAACACTATCAAGTGTAGATGCTGCCAAACATCGAGGAGATTTCATTAATGGTGCCAACACACGATTTCGTCCACATATGAAACTTCATACTATTCTAAAATTGATAGTATTACCATTATAACTAGAACTACACACTAAATGAATAGTACAACGTGAACAAGAGGTTTCATTTGAATAGTCACACCGTAGCATATCATCCACGGACTCAAAAGTTAGAACTACAACTGTACGCACTAAATATGTAGCATCGTGTTAGAGTACTGCTGAAGAGGTTTCATTTGAATGGTAACACCATAGGATTTCATCCACAACCTCAAAAGTTAGAACTAGATTCTAAACAGGTAGTACGATGTGAAAGTACGGTTGAAGAGGTTTCATTTGAATGGTCACACCATCACTTGGGATTCTGTTTCCAATAGAGTACTAAAGTGATGACGTCATAAAAATGAAATTTCTGAAATTATGGGATTTGTTAGGATATTCTGAAAGAACAATGTCCAAGAGGCCTACTTGCCAAAAATGAGCATTTGGAGGCAAATTGTCTCTGAGATCGTAGCCCAGTTATACTCAGAAAACTCCATACAAACCCTTCTAATTTTTTTTGGGTCGACCCAAAAAAAATTTAGAAGGGTTTGTATGGAGTTTTGTAAGCATAACTGGGCTACGATCTCAGAGACAATTTGCCCCCAACTGCTCATTTTTGGCAAGTAGGCCTCTTGGACATTGTTCTTTCAGAATATCCTGACAAATCCCATAATTTCAGAAATTTCATTTTTATGACGTCACACTTTAGTACTCTATAATTGTTAAAAGGTTTATTTTCTCCATGCACAGCACGTACTGGAATGTAATTGTGTGGCATGTACTGTTTTCTTTGTAGTTCCATAGCATTAATGCCCGGCTTCTGCAGTCAATGGAGGCCAGAAATCAGAGTGTTGATGAGCTGCTATCAGAGATTGACCAATCTATTGCTGCCAGTCGCCATACAATGAGGTGATGCAAGCTATTGACCTCCATACTTAAAACAATTATTAGATTCCGTCTCTGCGATATGTGGAATAATCAAGGTCGAGATTATAATGAGACAAAGCGTTTCCAGCCAAAGCTGGTACATGTTTAAACACTAACCGAGAGTCCTTAATTATTCCGGAAATCGCAAAAACCGAATCTAACAATTGTTTGGAAAAACATAACGAAACAAACACCATCGCACTGAACATAGTTTACTATATTTCAAAACGAATATAGCCTGCGTGTAGCGTCTCCACACAGGCAAGAAAAGAATAGACATTCCCCTTGGAAATAAAGCATTGCCCACGCAACCTACATTGTTAGTTTAGTCTTTACACAGACATTGTTTTCTTTTGCTTTTCGGAAATCGACGAACACGCGAGCGAAGCGAGCTCGCGAGAAAGAAAAAGAAAGAACTGTTTTTTCCGCTAGCGGTCAAACAATCCCTCGCGTTTTTTTATTGTTGTTTTGTTTTGTTTTTTTTTTTTCATACGCACGATCGATGATCTCTTAAGACAGTACATAGGCTAGTGTTATACTGTTAACTGCTTCCTGATAATCTGAAGCTTGCTGTGATTTCCAAATAAACTTATTAATTTAATTTTTGACTGGTGAATTTCGTGCCAAAGAGGTACCAAAAGTCCTTTATTATTATTTTTCTTCCTGGTTGGTTATGCCATTTGAAAGGACTTTTCATACCTGTTTGGTGCGAAATTCACGGACAATGGTGGTTGGTACAAAATAGAAAATGTATTATGTTAAGAATTCGCCCGGTGTTAGGGTTGGAAAAAGTTGTCAGAGAATTTCGTTTCAAATAGAGTACCTCAATAAAATTGTTGGAGTAGAGATCGAAGCTTTGCAGAATATCAGGAAAAGTGTGTTCCTTTACGGTTACTGGGAAAGGGTGTACAGTCGAACCTCCATATGCGATCACCTCTCGGAAGCGAGCACCTCCCATAAGCGACCGCCGATACAAAAGACACAAATTTTCCCAGTCAAAGCCTTAGAGTTAGAACCCCTAGTAAACGACCACCTCCCGTAAGCGACCACGACCTTTTTTTGGGCCTCACGGTTGATGAATTTCCATTGCTTTTAACTTCTTGTAAGCGACCGCTTGACACATTCTCTGATCTCTATGTTCGCTGTCTGCACTATGCTACTTAGAATATACGAAGAACTTTAGTGACAACGTGGAACTACACATGGCATAACTTAGACATTGATGCAATTCAATTAACTTCCATGGTTCGATTCTTGTAAGAGACCACCTCCCGTAAGCGACCACTCAGTCTTTGCCTTTTGTGGTAGTCGCTTACGGGAGGTTCGACTGTACAAAAATTGTGTTGCGTTTTTAACTTTATTAAAATGCCTCAGGGTTGTCCTGCCCGCTATTCTTACCTTAGGGTGGGCTGGGGTGGGGTATATTAATATCCGAGGGATTGGAATATGAACAGTTCGGTTGTTAAACGTTCAAACGGGGTATGTTGAAGTTCAGAATCTACCAACAGCTTATAGATACATATTCTCTACACTCACTTACTCCCCAAGAAAGTCGGTGATGCGGTATAGTATTGTAAGTCGTATTTATGCTAATAATAGACGCATTATTTTGACTGTTTGTTTTCAGGCAGCTTGATAAAAACGCTGAGGGATTCATAGAAGGAACAGACTGGGAGCAAGTTCAACTTCAGGTGAGTGCCGAAACAATGGGAAGTTTTTTGTAGGAAACGATTTACCAGCTATCTCGGTTGGCGAGCCTTGTATTTGTTCGATGTTTGTCATGAATTAAGTGTAGCCTATCTGAAATGTTTTTTTTTTTTTCTTTTTTAGGCTGTACAGCGTTGTGTGACGGATTGTCCAATATGTATCATGCCGCTTACATCCAAGGGACTCTACAAAAAGAAGAACCAATCTCGCCCCACTGTTCTGCTGTCGTGTTCACATGTGTTCCATGCCACGTGCCTGGATGCATTTGAAGAATTCTCACTCGACAGAAAACCAGTGTGTCCCGTGTGCCGATCACATTATTACAAGAAACTTCTGTAGCGGATGAAAATTCTTTTTATTCTTGTACAACAGTGATAATACTATCTAGACTGATCACGATTGTCGAGAATGTAAACCCGTTTGCGCGGACCGCGAGATCATGTTGTCTTCCATGTGGACAAGGAACATTGTTTGTTATTTCTTTTTCACTTATTTAGTGGATGGACAAAGAAATCTTCCCACTCTCCTCGGGTTTTGAATTTTTAATCCTTCAAGTCCTTCAAGTAGGTGGCTATACCATCTTACATTTGTTGGTCAAAATTTTATCTAAATCAATTGAGCGTTTTGCATGCAAAGTTTATGGCTAAACGGTCAAACATGCTCTTTTAACACGGTGTTGGACGAAGGTGTGTGTGTGTTTGAAGACTTGCAACATTTCTTGAGTCCGAGTTTAGCGGAAGGGCTGGTTTGCTTAAATGTTATGCATTTCTCAAAGATAATGTATATCACTAAACCGTAAGTCCTTTGATGTAAAACATTGCGACGCTTGAAGCCGGATTAAATACCCGCAGTAAATTACCAGCATTGCTTTGTTTATTTATTTATTTTGCTGTGATGTACGTTATTGTAAGCTTCATTCATATTTGGGAAAGGCAATGTTACTGAGTCTAGCTTCCTTGGCTTTGATTTTGTCTTATGCGGAGGTGACGAGAAATGCTGCTTACCTTATTCTAAGAATGATATCATCACATCGTTGTTGATTGTCTGTCGCGGCTATTCTAATCAAATTTAAAACTGAGTCGGATCTTAACTGTTTGTGCAAATCGAAATTACTCGAGGCATGGTCCAAACGTCGAACTTCTTGTGAGACGAACCACCCTTAGTCGACCTTAATTAAGTTAAGATCGTCTGTTGTGTCAGACGTCGAACTTAGGACGCGTCGAACCAATCAGATCAGTTGAAATTTCTCCCGAACGAGGCTTAAAATGCATTATCGTACAAATTAATTTTTTTATTTATTAGTTCAGTTCGTTGCATGTGCCCTGACTGGAGACGATGTTCAGCTGGACGTTCAGACGGATACGGTGTTAGACGATCGAAACGGCGAAAAGTTCGCCGTTTGGCCTAAGCCTGAGTTGCCTGTGTTCGGTACATTCTAACACTGATGTACGCGATAGTATTCCAGCTATGCTTGCTCTTCTCACAAGCGCTGTGATCCTCACGAAAAGAAAGAATTCGGTGACCCATTAATGAATTTCGCCACCTTAATCGATCAGACCTATTTTCTCTACTCTGGCCCTAGCTCCGTAATTAGCTTTTGCTTCCTTTGCCCGCGTTGTTCCCTTAATTTCCTTTAATTTCCTGTGGATAATTATCAGTAGGGAAAGGGGTCATCGCTAACACATCTAATATTCACCCTTAGAGTCTGACTTATCGCTTAGGAACTTTCAGCCGACCTCGCTTATTGCTGCACTTATTACTGTTTTACCGTCCTAAGTTGTCCTTTGTTGCCAAACCATTTTAGCCAACCTCGTTCCCATCGTTTTTCCTTTAGAAAATGTGAGGGACTGGAAAAGACCGTCCTTCCATTTTCGAAGCGAAAAGGCCCTGGGGACGACATTTATTGAGCAGTGAACAGACTTGATTTTCGTAGTGAAATGAACTGTTTTCGTAAAAGTACCAGTCAAAACATCCTATTCCTTGAATGAATTATCCATGCGTTCAGCCTCTCCTGTGTGCTTATCAAAGGCCCAGGGGACGACATTTATTGAGCAGTGAACAGACTTAATTTTCGTAGTGAAATGAACTGTTTTCGTAAAAGTACCAGTCAAAACATCCTATTCCTTGAATGAATTATCCATGCGTCCAGCCTCTCCTGTGTGCTTATCAAAGGCCCAGGGGACGACATTTATTGAGCAGTGAACAGACTTAATTTTCGTAGTGAAATGAACTGTTTTCGTAAAAGTACCAGTCAAAACATCCTATGAAATACAATTCTTATTGCATGGCTATAGCATTGTCTAACACTCTTTGTTTATTGCAGAGTTTGTTTAGTAAACGTTAGATTGGTCCTCGAAAGTACAATAACACTTAGTTATCAATTATCTTTGTTTACTCATCCATAAATCCTCGTGTTTGCATATCAACGAGTCCGTAAGCGATTTGGCACAGATTGCCATGGCAACCGCATGGTAGTTCAGTTGATATTGTAAATTAGAGTGTAAATTTACAAAGTGCACTAAAAGTACTTCGAGGTTTGTGTAAAAATGTCCGATGATCGACTTTTTACAACGAGCTACAGATATGAAGTTCCTAGCTCAAATGCACAATTTCTTCGCAAATCGCTAGCATTGCAGCGGTCGCGAATTGAGGTAAGATCAAATTCCCAAAACCCGAACTTTGGAGGTCCTTCTCTCAATAATGAACAAACAAAAACTACTACTAGACTACTGCATCTCTAGACCTTTCTAGACCTCTCCTCTTTACGGCTCCTTTTTATAACCATTGGAAATGTACATTAAGACCTTTTCACTGCCAGAAGTCTTGGAAATTGGTTCTAACTTTTCGGTCTGAGGACACATTGCTGTGGTGTGACCATCCAGATGAAATCTGAAATCAGCAGTACTTTCTCATGGTACTATTCATTTGTTAGTATGACTAACTTTTGAGTCTGCGGACGGCAAAATTCTGTGGAGTGAACATTCAAATGATTTTAGCTTTGGTAGTTAAGTGCTTGGAGAAATTAAAGGATTTAATTAAGCGTACAATGTGCTAGGCTCGATTACCACCATAGATACCGGCGAAATTCGAACCTAACAATGCACATAATTCAATTAATCTTAGTCTAAACTCACTTTGCGTTGTCGTTTTTAACAGACAGATGAAAAGATTGCAAGTCGTATAGACGCGGAAAACAAGTGCGTAAGACGCTCATACATTCTGAACTATGTAATCTTTCTTAAACAATCAACATTTGGCCGGGGAAGGAATGAGGGGGGGGGGGGGGGGGGGCAAATTAATTAAAAAGGGCAATGCTTCCCCCAAAAAAAAAAAAAAAAAAAAACAAAAAAAAAAAAACACAAAAAACACCAAACTATGGTTTTTCACACCACCCATAGAAAAAAACATATGACTGTACTTTCATCATAATATAAACAAAAAACTAAAAAAAAAACAAACAAAATATAATTTAATTTTATCATCTATTTTGTTTTTTGTTTTTTAGAAAAAAAGAAAAAAAAAAAAATGGAAGAGGGAGAAGAAAAAAAAAAAGAGGGGCAGACAGTCTATATTTTTAATATATTATTTTTTTTTTAAAAAAACACAATTGGGGGGGGGGGGGGGGGGGGGGGGGGGGGGGGGGGCTAATATAATTGAAGAGGCAAGCTCTCTCCACACAAAATAAAGAAAACCAAAACAAACAAACAAAACCACTAAAAACGCTGATTGTTGGTTTCTAACCGCGCCCTTGAAAATAACGAATTGATTTGATACTTTACAGTTAATAAATTTTCACTCGATTTACGGCCTTTAAGCACATGAAGGGAAATTAGACTATTAAAGAGGCAGAGACAAAGAGATGCATGATTCACGAGAGGCGGCGCATAAACTGAAGAAACCATCACGGCGAATTGGCTTTCACCTGATTTTACCTTGATACGGAACGTTTCCATGCTTCCTAATGTGTGTTGGTTTATTTCCCCTTAGGGTTGCCAGCGAATTGGAGAGGGCGCGATGGTTTACCAGCTTAGAAGAGGTACAGTTATTTTTGCTATGTCGTTTAGTACAACCAATCGAGGCACTGCACAGCATTGATTCCACAGTTTCCAGAAATTTTGATTGATGCGATCGATTGATGGTCTAACCTTTGATAGTCATCGACCAAAAAAAACTAACTCTTTTGAATTTGCTTTTCAAACTGATATGCCATTGTTTGGAGTTGATATCTCATTGCAGTGTAATTCATGTTTTCAACAGGATAGTGAAGAAAGAAGAGAGAAAAGGAATTCTGAAATGATGGACAGTGAACTTAAGATGGCAAACGAAGAGTTCATGAAGGTATCAAAATAAGTATCACTATGAACATTATATATCCAACTGTTCGTGTTAGTGGTTAATCTCTTTTCAGCGTCTGTTTGGTCGAATTACATTTAAATAGGCTCTTTGCAGCACTGGGACAGAAAAAAAAGAAAGATCGCATCATGTAAAATGGTAATTTACTTACTTTTTCTCCAAGTGCTTCTCTTGCTCTCCAGCCTGAAAAAACATGGAGGTTTTGCAACCTCGTTCAGGGTTCTCTCGAGGTAAGGAAGAGAAATGGGCATATTTTTTCCTTTTGAATTTAGTTCGGCCGCAGTAAAGATCAGCGTCTGAATCAAATTAGCTGACCTAACTTATTCTGAGTTGACCTAAATTTGCCAGGCCTTACACAGTTACATACAATTCTTACATTTTAATAAAGACAAAGCTTGGTCTTATAGGATAACGTTTTCGGTTTGAATCTACTAGTTTGGTCGCGTCTATTCTTAGTTAAACAAGGAGGAAATCCGAGGGACCTAATAATAATCATTTCTTACAAAGTGGTTGCAAGCGGGTTATGATCAGCACTTACTCGCCTCTGGCCTATCCGGGTAATGTTTGCTTGTGGAATACGAAATCCTGGGCCTTGGAATTCGAAATACAGCTCAAGGAATCCGGAATCCCACTAACGATTGGATTCCAGAATCCAAGTTCCACTGACAAAGACTGTAATCCATTACCTGGAATCCGGAATCCAACGCGTGGAATTCACAATTAATCCAGGACTGTTTTGGATTCGATTACATAGGGCGATCTTACAATTATCGATACTTCATATTCAAGCAAGTATCGATGCTTTTTCGGTATTTTTCCAAATACCGATTAATATTATAAATTTACGTTTTTTTTCCTGTTCACTGTAGGTCCGACGAGCACAGTTGCAAAAGTTACTGCTGGACGAACATCTGCAGTACGAAAAAGAACTTAACGGCACAGGAAAAGCTTTCTATAAAAAGAGAATTTAGGAAACCATTAATAAAAATTTCTGATCTTACCTAGTTTAGAGACTGCTTTCCATTACTATCGGTCAATCATTTTGTTGTTAGTTTTTGGACAGATAGATCTTGGCACTGAGTGTCTATATTTAAAACTTATAACTGGATCCCGAATCGAAGGACATGATTGCGTTCTCCATATTATTGTAAAGATTTCTGAATGATGGTAACTTTTTAATCTTTGAGAAAAAATAATCCATGTTTACAAACAATTCATAAAGCGTGAGAGAGAAAGATAAGCCTAAAAAAATGTTTTTTTTCCTCAACTAACGTGATTTAAACTGCTCAAAAAATATACTTTTAATATCGATTTTTTTTTTAGTGGTAAGATTGTTTGAGGAGCACAGACGTAATTGCCAGGCATCCGCAGATAGGGTTACCTTGATGCTTATCCCAGTAATGTTAGTGTAACCACAGGGAGCCCAGACTCACAACAGGTTACTGGAAGTCAAATTACAGATTTATCATAAGATCGATAAAACGGTTAAAATGCCCATAAACATCTATTAAAGTGTACATACATCATAAAAGAGTTGTGTCTGCATTGTTTTCTTACATTAAGGCCCTAAAAACGCCATTTTAGCAAGTGAGAAACCAAAACATCAGAACTTGCTAAAATGGCGTTAAAAGGGCCGTAAACTAAAGAATATTTTGGTCCCGTAGACATAAGAATTGTGTTGAAAATTTCTGTACCCCTGGTTCATGGCTAGCCATCTTTAAGCATAGCCTGATGTATATGACTTTTCATGCATTTCTGGCTGGAGTGTGAAACAAGCCTATTATAGACTACAATAATAGGCACCTAAGTGGGCACCTTACCTAGTCTTTGTACGGCGTTTTGTCAGTCCCTCTCGGTCAATTCACTTCGGTGACGTATACGAGCTTGGGTCACGTGAAGCAAAACGCTTTGGCGGTCGCGCGGAATATTGAGGCCTAAGAACTAGGCAAGCAGGCACCCAAAATCCCTACACGTCACTGATTGTAGGCCGTTTGTTGGGGAGGAGTGTGCGTGACGAGATAGAAACGGCTGCGAGGGAGACGATAGTGCATCTGTTAACGACTCCCACTTTAGGCTATTCCCTGTCGTAGACTATACTGCTTCACAACCCTACTTTTCATGGTCGGTATATACCAGTCAAATAGCTTATAGGATGATACTCCCAACACATTATCAAATACAAAACACAAACAGAGGTGATAAACTCCCGGGTGATAAACATTGTGAGCTTTCGCATTTTTTTAACTTGATGTTTCGTATACTTTTCAACATACATTTTCAAACGTGATCTGAAAGTGACCGTTAAATATAATGACGAGACTATATATACAAAAATTTTCAAGGGGTCTGGAAATGAGATTAAGAATTAAAAATTCTTAACAATATTGAATCCAAAAGGCAACAACTAATAAAGCATCTGTTTTTGACTGCTGATGTTTGACATTAATTAATCTAGCTGTTTTGCCAGATGCTAAAATTTCAAAATGATCGCACTTAATGTTATGTCCGGTGGCAGTGACACGGTCAGCAATAGCTGAGGAGTGATCATTATTTGTTAGGGACTTGAAGTGTTCAATCTTTCTGTCATGGAGCCGTCGCTTAGTTTTACCAATGTAAAAATCACTGACAATTCCAACAACAAGCGATTTAGGCGGTCCTTGTTTGAAAAGAAACATTTACGGCAGTGTTTTGAAAAAATATCTTTAAATTAACACAAGAGTAAAACTGGTAAATGCAGGATTTAGGCACTTAGAAATTTGGTTGATGGGTGATGACCTATATAAAGTAACAGAATAATAACATCCTTCTTAGGAACCATAGGTACAGGGCCATCTCGCTTGTTGCGGTTTCGTTCCAGCAAATTATTTGATGTGGAAGTTGATTATTCCTTGGGGGTAACCATTTTGAAGAGAGAGTTTTCTTAGATCATTCAGAGCAGACTGTAGCAAAGATGAGGAGAAGCAAATTTGGTAGCAACGATAAGTGAAAGTGCAAATTAAGTTTATTTTGTATTTGCGAGGAGTGAAAGAGTCCCATTCAGTAGAAGGCCATCCCCCTTTTTTTTGTTAAGCGTCGAATGCATTTCCTGATATTGGGTCGGTCGGTCGGTCGGTCGATTGAAAAAAAAAAAAAAAAAAAAAAAAAAAAAAAAAAAAAAAAAAAGGGGGGGGAGGGGGGGGGGGGGGGCGCAAGAAACGAACGAAAAAAAAAAAAAATGATAAATAAAGAAAATATGTGAAAGATAGAAAGAGTACAGATGAGAACAAGTGAA